TCATTTTTGTACTAATTAATCCAGCCTTGCCCTCGCTGCGTATGTTCGTTTAAGTTCATGAGCTATAAATCATTCCTTTGGCCTATGTTGCAGCAAATCATCAATATCTTCATATATAGACATGGAGCATTCCAAGATTAAGCACGGAGCTCTTGGAACTCCTATGTAATCTGTATAGTGATATGCCCTAGTTGATCATTATATGGTGTTCATTCCAACATCTCTTGCCCTTATAGTTTTGCGGTTACAAGTTGAGCAACTTAATTAGGGTTGAATATTGGCTAGTTTTGGTTATTAGTAAGTAGAGTTACATTGCATGTATCTTACCTACTCACTGTAAAACTCTAGTCTATATAAAAAGCGATTCATTGCATATACAGGAATGTTAGGGAGTTGTCTCCGCACCAAAGGATGATGGTTAATATCATTTGGTCCAGAACTCATGAGTCCCAAAGGTTTTGGGATTGGTTCACTTCGTTATCATTGGTTGATGATGAATTAATGAATAGTTTTCACTGTGTTTGTGTTAATATCATATTTCCCTTATTCTTGTTTACATTTACCGGTAAGAGATTGTGATATTTGACTAATAATATTATATTAAGTAAATTAGAATACTCACTTAACACATTTCAATTTTGAATTCACAGTTTATTTGTCTCTACAAAACACTTAGAATAAGTCTTTAAATAAAACTTGGTCATAATATTACAACTTTAAAAATTAACATGTTCTATTTCACAATTAAAGTAATCTTTGAATAAAATTTTATTACAATACAACCTTAAAAATTGCCATATTCCCTTTCGTAGTTAATACATTTTAATTCTAAATTAACAATTTTCTGTTAAGGTGAAGCTATTAGGATTAAGGGAAGAAGATTTAATATAAAAAATAAACCACCGTTGCCTCCTTTATTGATTTTTTTGACTTTGCAATGGTAGATATCAAGTTTTCTAATTCAGAGCTTTTCTACAATACAGGAATGACAGAAAATCCTCATCTCTACGGGTTTATAATAAAAAGGACATTACGGTCATTTCATAAAATTTTTAAATTCCTCTTTGGGTCATATAACTTAATCAGGGTTTTGACAAATTTAGTAATCCAAATAAGGATTTGAGTTATTTAAGTGTTTTTTTAAAGAGACTTTCTCCCTTGTGAATAGAAAAAATATATATTTTTATCATTTTTCATATTAAATTTTAAAAAAATTTAGTCCTAAAGTTTATTATTTTATTTAAATATTTTTTAAAGTAATTAATTCTTACAATAAGTGAAAAAAATTAAAAGAAGAGTTAAAAAAATTTAGTCATAAAATTTATTATTTACAAGTCAACTTTGTCTTTTTAAATTAGAGAGACAAATAATAAAATCAAAAGCAGAATCAAACCCACAAATTTTCTATTCTGCCTGCGAGGTAACTTTCATACTACCAGCCTGCCAAGGTATTGACGGTTTGAATTAACTTTGATGTTTACAAATCTTTTGAAAATTTACAACTTAACTAGTACTCTATCTATAATTTACGCAAGATTTTAGTCAAAGATTGTTGGTTCTTAAATTAATAAGTTTTTTGTTTGCTAAAAAACATAATAAGTTTTTGAACCCAAATATGTTTTATTTGCTGCGGTGGGCGCTAAATCTCCCTCCTGCTTATAAATTTTTCCACGGTATTCAGTTTTCTCTCCTCTATCCTTCCCCTCATCTTACTTCTACCCTTCCTCCATCCCTTTCATCATATCATTAGATCAAATTTTAATGGTTTAGATTTAATATTTTATAGTAATATTATTATTATTTTATTTAAAAATACACAACTAAAATATGATGTGAACAATTCACAATTATAGTTAACAAAAAGGAAAAAATCCATCCAAAATTATTTATGTATTTTTAAATAAAATTATAATAATATTACTATAAAATATTAATAAATATTAAATCTAAATCATTAAAATTTAATCTAATGATAATGAATGGAGAAGTGGAAGAGTAGAGGAGCTATTACGTAATGCTTCATTGCTTCTAAGCTGAGGATACACACACACATATATTGTATGTATGTATGTATGTATCTAGATATACATATAGGTAGAATTCCTAAAAAAGACACTTAAATAATTTAAATTTTTATTTGGATCATTAAATTTATCAAACTCCTAATTAGGTCAGGTGACTCGAAGAAGGATTTTAAAATATTATGAAATGACTCTAATGTCCTTTTTATTAGGAAAAAAAACAAAAAAGATTCTAAATTAACATGTTTTATTTTGCAGTTAATACGTTTTAATTCTAAATGAACAACTTCCTGCCTCCATGATACACTTGCATAAATCTTTAAATAAAACTTGATCATAAAACAATATTAAAACAAGTTCAATTGCTCAATTAACAAGTTTCAGTTCTAACCTAATAGATTTACGTCTTTAAAACACTTGTAATAAGTCCATAAATATAAGTTGATCACAATACAACCTTAAAAATTAACATGTTTCAATTCTTAAATCACAATTTTTTATCTCCATAACACACATTCAATAAATCTTTGAATAAAATTTGATTACAATACAGCCTTAAAAATTAACATATTATATTTCATTTCATATTTAAACATATTTCAATTCTAAATTAACAACTTTTCATCTTCAGAACATGTAATAAGTCTTTAAAAAAAACTTTATCACAATATAGCCTTAAAATATAACATGTTCCGTTTCAGAATTTAGATGTTTTAATTATAAATTAACAACTTCCTATTAGGATGAAACCATTAGAATGAAGGGAGAAAGATTTAATATAAAAACTAACTCATCATTGTCTTCTTAATCGATTTTCTGATTTTGTAACGGTAGACGCTAAGTTTTCTTTGCTCAAAATTCTTATACAACATGAAAATAATTTTGAAAAAACCTCATCTCTTTATATTTCTAATTAAATGTGCATTAGAGTCATCTCATAAAATTTTAAAATTTCATTGAGTCATAAATCTTATTAGGGTTTAGACAAATTATTCAATAGTCCAAGTAAAAATTTGAGTTATTTAAATAATTTTTAATGAATTTTCCCATATATATATATATATATGTATATCACTCTGCGCGTGTGCGAGCCTACACTCTGTCTGGTCAAAAATAAAGAAAAAAAGAAAGGCTACACTCTGCATTTTCCTTTGCGAGAAAATGGCCTTCAGGACATTTGCACGGAAAGACAGAATTAATAAACGCAGAAGACCGGTACTTGGTGGAAGGCCGGGTGCGGATATATTGTTCTTAATTACAACCCACAAAAAAAAAAAAAACAGAGTAGCATCCAAGATATTTTTTTAGATGCATCCAATATTTTAAAGTTTTATGATATATTTAGTATTTTAAAATATTTTTTAGGTATGTTTAGTATTCTAAAATATTTTTTTCTTCTTAATACCAAATGCACGAAAAAATATTTTAGAATATTGAACACACCTAAAAATATTTTAAGGTGCTGAACGTATTAAAAAAATACTTAACAATATTGGATACACTTGAAGAAAAAAAAACTTAACAGTGTTGGATACACTACAAAATATTATAGTCTATTAGATATATGCCAAAAAAATATTTTAAGATGCTAGATATACTTTAATCCTAACAAAAATATCTAATACGGAAGGCAAAACAAGAAAGCAAAAAAAATCCGACACATATTATATTATAAACTGATAAATTCGGAAACTATTGTTGGGGGAAAAAAAATGAAAAGACAAAATTCCAGACACTATCATAGCAAAGAAACTTGACTATAAACAGATGATCATGCAAAATATCCTTCACAGTTCACACCGGTCTCTCTCCTTGGTCCCTTAGGCCTTCACCTCCTAGTCCCTCTCAGCTGGCAGCATAAGAAAGTTGCTCTGAAGTTTTACTTCGACGCAGAGGCAAAAGGCAGACTTGAGCCTTCATCACTCGTTCGGCAAATGGAATCGCAGGGACCAAATAATAGTGAGTGTTCTGTCAGACTCTATTCTTGAAAATTTTTGCTTCAATTGAGAATGTTTTGTTTGTTTCATTTGACCTGGTTTTCTTAGGGTTTCGCTTACTCAAGTAGCAGGTGAGAGATTGCTGCACAGCTTGGAATGTCATTCTAGCATTATGACATCTGAAATTCAACAGAAATTTCAATTTCAACCCCCCATTTTTATTTTGTTTTTCTGTATTTGGAGACTTTTCGGCCATTAGAAGACTTTTAAAAAAAATCCAAATCTCTTTCCATTATTCTTACGAACTGCTCAAGAAAAGGCACTCAGTCACTCAAATTCCCCTTGTATTATAGATGATGCTTCCTAGATCATCACTTTGGATTAGAAGGTAAATATTTCTATGAAGCTCATAATTTAACCCTTTTCTCGGTTTAAGGAGAAGATCGAATAATTTGGCTTCTACCCGAACTGGAGGAGGATAGATCAGAACCCGTGCTCGCAAGGGGACGTCATACAAAAATCAATGGAAAAGAAAGTGGTCCAGGTAACACATTTCCTTGGTCTACCAGAATCAAAACAAGCTTACTATCACAAGTCATTAACAATGCTTTCCATTCCTTAAACATTGAAATTCAAGCAATCATGGGAGATTTTATTGGATGGTGTGTCTTCTTCTCACCCCCAAGCGGATCATCTAAATTTATGCGAGGTGTGCCAGATTTCTTCGTTATTGTGCTCTGACATGAGCATCCCATTATTGTGCTTTACCATTTTATACACAAAAAAGAATCTAAACTTTCCCCCCTTTATGATGGGCATTTAAACAGCATCTCGAGCAGACATGCGCTTGAAGAATGTCTTCTCACTACCGAGTGAACCATCTACAGTAAATGTATTCCATCAGTGCCCTGAAGACGAAGAGAAGGGCAGAAAATTCGAAAAAAAGAAAGAGATCAAAAAGGAAGACGCAAAGAAGGAAGAGCCAAAGCGAGAGGAAAAGTACCCTTTTCTAATACCATCTTTCGCCGTTGCTGACCCGATAATGGGGCAATATAGATCAGGATTTAATCAAGGATCCCGTTTGAAACATAAGTTAATGAAGCAAGAACATGGACCCAGCAAGGATTTCAATTTGCTAAAGGTTGCATATGATCCAAACGGATCTTTCACTGTATCTGATAATGCCTTTTTTAAGCAACGTACCCCACTGGGTAATACAGTCTTACACTTGGCAGCTAGCGATGGGAATGATGCAAGGGTAAAAGAGGTAGCTCAACATGCTCCCCAACTTTTCACTGCTATTAACAACAACTATGATACTGTGCTTCATGTTGCTGCAAGAATGGGACACGGCTCTACCATTAAGTTAATCTTGAACGAGTTTTTGCTTTTTGCCAGACGTGAAACAAATGGTCATGATGATCATTCCATTTTGGAAATGATGCTTCTTGTATCACTAACTTTGTTTCGAAATAAACAAGGGAACACCTTCCTCCATGAGGCATTTATGACCAATAGCCGTAATGGCGCTGTGATTTTCAAAGCTTTTGAGGCTTCTTTCAGTGCAGATGGCGGTTCAGACTTTGAGGCCGAGTTTAAGAGAATTACTCATCATTTAGCACCATTTGCAGTCAACGTGGAAGGGAAATCATTATTGTACTTGACCATTGAGGTTAACTGTGACCGAGATCTTGTTGAGCAATTGATGGAGTTCTGCATTGAAGATGAGCCGGAGCTGCAAGGAAGATCACCCCTTCTTCCCACACTCATCAAGAAGAATTTTGGTAGCTCTTACATTGCTCATTGCTTAAATTTCTGAGTATACTATTTATTTACTAGTCAACTCTCATTCTCCTTGTGAGGTCAGAGGCAAAATTAAGAGAAAATTGTGCTATATCTATTCAATCAGCATATGAAGGCTTATAAAAAATAGGATAAAAGTATACATATATTCTTTTAATATTATACAAAGTTTCAATTTAGTCTATTAATTTTAAAAAGCCTATTTTTAGTCCGTTAACACTAAACCTGTGAATCTTAAATGGTGAGTTTTTATAATAGTTATAGTTGTTTTGAAAATTAAACTTAATATATTAACATTTAAAAATATTTTATCAACATCTAATATCTCATGAATGTCATCATTTTTGTTAATAGTTTTAAGGTTGAAGAACTAAAAATATATTTTTTTAAAATTAATAAATCAAACTAAAATCTTATATAAAGTTAAAGAGTTAAAAGTATATTTTTACTTAAAAAATAGTGATAAGCCATCCTAATAAATACTAAATTAATCTATAATAATTATAATATATGTGATAGGTCAACCTAAACAAAATATAGGAGATTACAATTAATTGAAAATCATAAATCAATCATAATAAGATGACACTTAGTCATAACACTCTTAAAACATTGATAATTATCAAGACACAAGGAGACATTCCTACTTAATCAAGGAAAGGAGAGGAGACTTGTATATAAACACAATATTCTGTCTCTGTCTTTCTCTCACACATTCATTTACACAGTGAATTTTCTTAATTTGAGCATATACAAAATTATGATTAATATACTTGTTTATAATAGATATGCTAGGAGCCATATTGAGCAAGAAACCAGATTGGATACACTTGAGAGATGAAGAAGGATGGTTTCCACTTCATTCTGCAGCGCGTTTGGGTTACCTTCAAGGTGTTTCCTCCTTAGTGGAGAAATGTCCTTCTTGCACCATGGAAAGGGACAACAATGGCTACTTACCGATTCATCTAGCATGTGTTCATGGTCACGTCGAAATAGTTCAAGAGTTACTAAATTGGTGCCTAGATCCCACAGAGATTGTAACTGAACGTGGCCAAAATTTGCTCCATGTTGCATGCAAATATGGAAATTATGAAGTAGTCAGGTACTTACTCAAACAACCCAAGCTTGAGGTAATGATAAATCAAAAAGACATGGACGGGAATACTCCCTTGCATTTAGCTACCGAGTCCCGGCATCCCAAAATTGTGTATGCCCTGACATGGGACAATAGAGTGGATCTTTCTTTACTTAACCGTGACAACCTAACGGCTCTAGACATCGTAGAAGTATATCAAAGCATGAGTATTTCCCTTTCAGAGGCAAGTATCCATGCATAATTTGGCTGATTATACTTCAATATGTTTTCTTTGTCAAAATTATGTTATTTCTTGAAGTCTCAATCATTTCCCCCCTTTGTTAACCCCAATCAAATTATTTATTTGCAGCGACTTACATGGAATGCATTGATATCTGCTGGAGCACCTCGAAGTTCTGTGAGATTTCATCCAGACCTTAAGTCCCGTATTCCAACCACTGAACAATATAAAGATAGAATTGACACTTTGATGGTGGTTTCAACCCTTATAATAATAACATCATTTGCTGCTGGGTTTACCATCCCAGGTGATGAAGATCAAGGCATTCCCTTCTTGCTAAAACACCGTGTGTTCCATTTATTCATTCTCTCCCTCACAATTTCTGTGTTTGGTGCTATAAGTTCCACCATCATTCTCATATGGGGTCGACTAGGGGATCTCCATCTAGCAGTTTTTGCTCTTACTTGTGCAGTGCCTCTTCTAAGTCTGTCCCTGACAGCACTATCTGTAGCAGTTTTGGCTGGCATGTACCTTGTAGTTAGCAAACTTAGCTGGCTTGCCACTATATTTTTGCTGATTGGTGTGGTTTTGATCCTTGTGGTTGTATTCTTGTACTTGCTGCTTCTGTTGCCTTCCTCTTCAACCTTGCCGTTCTTTCGATATATTTCCTATTATCCCTTCCTTTTCTTTGCAAACATAGCTCAAGGGAAAATGGATGCCAACAAGATGAGATCTAAAGCTATCGTTCAATTGGTGTAAATTAATTATATATGTATGTTGTTATGAGTGCAATGAAGAATCATATCACAAGTTTCTATCTTTTTTCCTTTTCATCTGTCTGTTGACGAACTCTGGAATGTATTATTCTTATCTACACATGTTTCGTTTATGCTACTTCTGGATATTCTCAAATTTGTATAATATTTTTCTTTAAGAAAACATGTTATTGTGCTTGAATTTATCCATTGCATTCCAAGAATTTTAATTTGAGATATTTGTGAAAAATGAGCAGTTAGGGAACTTGTATTTTGGACCCTATAGTATTTCTGAAGAATGACTTATATTTAGAATGAATGGTAATATTAATTGAAAACAACAATTTTGTAGACATTTGATCAACGAGCTTAATTTGTCAATCTATTGGCGACATGGGAAAAATCCTAGATTGACCTTTAAAAATATATAGATATTAAGTATATTTTACATATTTTGTTTCCACATTAATTTGTACGGAGTTTTGGGCTTTTGATGTATATTAACCTATTTTGTTGACATTTTTCTTAATGCTTTGCATTTTAAAAATAAATTTATTATGATCAATATCAAAATTGTTATTAAAACTCAAGAATTTTTCAAGACGGATACAAATTTTTTAAATTCATCCTTGTCCTAAATCTTAAATCTTGGGTATCCAAATAAAATAATAAAAAATACTTTGGTATATGGAATATACAAATGGAGTGTAAATTTAAAAAAAAAACTCATATACAATAAAAAAAAATTATGTCTAGAATTTTAAAGTTGGTACAATTTGGAAAAATATTCCTGTTGGACTGGACAATACTCAAATTTGACTTAATTAGATTACTAGCTCCTGTTCTAATTATAAAATGTCATTTGCAATCTACAAATGAGGTTGTATTATATTGTAAAAAAATCCCTTCAGAAGAGGATCATCAAGCCATTCATGTTCAGATTCACATGCCGCTATCATTTAAAAACAAAATCAGCATGTTGAAAAATTTATCTCATTTGAAAAATTCATCTTAGTTGATTTGGGCTTAGAATAAGATTCAACAGCATTGTGCTCATGTCCGTTCACACGGGGCTTTGAATAAATGTTTTCAAAAAACTCAGGAATTCCAATGGGCCTGTTAATTATATATATTCACAGCTGCTAAGACTTTCAAGAGTTTGACGGATCCATGCGCTCGCGCAAGTTGCTCCGTCAATCTGAGTTTATCCCAAATTAGGCTTGATTTATAAATTATTATGATCGTTTCGTTGTTTTTCCTTTTTCAAAATAAAATCTAACGTCTACTCATTTTTCCTAGATGATAATGCTAAGTCTAATTATTTCATCCCGTTAATAATGAAATGGATTAAACTCCCTTCTATGTAACTTATTTAACTTTATACGATATTTCAATTTGGTTATTTAACTTTAAAAAATATATTTTTAGTTCTTTAGTCCTGAAATCATTAATATTAAATAATTCATATTTGTAACAATCATAGGTATTTCGAAAATAAAACTTAATATGTTAGTATTTAGGGATATTTTATCAATATTCAAAATTTCATTACTATCATTGTTTTGTTAACAACTTTGGGATTTAAGACTCAAAATACATTTTTTAAAGTTTAAAGATAAAATTAAAACTTTGTATAAAATTAAAAGACTAAAAATATACTTTAGCATTTCTTTCATTTTGAAAACATAAATGGAAATCCCTTGATTAATTTTGATAATATTATGAAGTCAACTGATTACATATTCTAGAATTTTATTATTTTCATAATTTTAAATTTTTAATCTCATTTGTTTAACATCATTTACTAATATTTTAAAAACCTAAGATGGCTAAAAGTATCATTTAAGCATATATATATATATATATATATATATTAAATTCTTTTACATGATTATAAAATGAAACAATTTTGATCTTCTTCGGCAACATCTGTTTGTTATAAATTTTTCACAAACTATCAAGCTATAAATTAGAAATTTTGTACGCCGAGGAGTGAATTATTGAATAAAATTTATTTTAATAGAGAGCATTTACTGAACAGAGAAAACAAAGCAGTGGCAAACGAAAAAAATTCCACATCACCTGCTTATTAGACATGCCAGGTCAGATTATTTTGGTCAAACTTGTGCTGACTCATCAATTTCACAGTCAAAGTAATAGATCTGTTAGCATAGGATACCGATGCACCATTTTAATTACTTTGAGGGCAAAATTGCACCATAAATTACTTTAGGTCATTGGGTGCACCTGAAAAAATACTTGGGGGTGTTGGATGCACCCTAACCCCGAAAAAATTCCACATCACCTGTTTATTAGACATGACACGTCAGATTATTTTGGTCAAACTTGTGCTGACTCATCAATTTAACGGTCAAAGTAACAGATCTGTTAGTATGGGATACCGGTGCACCATTTTAATTACTTTAAGGGCAAAATTGCATCATAAATTACTTTATGCCACTGGGTGCATCTGGAAAAATACTTGGGGGTGCTGGGTGCACCTTAACCCTTTAAAATATTATGAAATGACTCTAATGTCTTTGTTATTAGAAAACAAACAAAAGAATTCTAAATTATCATGTTTTATTTTACAGTTAACATGTTTTAATTCTAAATTAACAACTTTTTGCCTCCACGATACACTTCTATAAGTCTTTAAATAAAACTTGATCATAATACAATATTAAAAATTAATAAGTCTTTAAATAAAACTTGATCATAATACAACATTAGAAATTAATAAGTTCAACTGCTCAATTAACAAGTTTTAGTTCTAAACTAAAAGATTGATGTATTTAAAACACTCATAATAAGTCTTTGAATATAACTCGATCACAATACAACTTTAAAAATTAACATGTTTCAATTCTAAAATCATAACTTTTTGTCTCCATAACACACTTTCAATAAATCTTTGAACAAAACTTGATCACAATACAGCCTTAAAAATTAACATGTTATATTTCATACTTAAACATATTTCAATTCTAAATTAATAATTTTTCGTCTTTAAAACACACTTTTAATAAGTCTCTAAATAAAACTTTGTGACAATATAACCTTGAAAAATAACATGTTCCATTTCAGAATTTAGACATTTTAGTTCTAAATTAACAACTTTCTATTAGGATGAAACTACTAGAATGAAGGGAGAAATATTTAATATAAAAACTAAGTCATCACTGCCTCCTTAATTAATTTTCTGATTTTGTAATGGTAGACACCAAGTTTTCTTTGTTTAAAGCTCTTACACAACATGAAAATGATTATAAAAAAACTCATCTCTTATATTTCTAATGAAATGGATATTAAAGTTATTTCATAAAATTTTAAAATTTTATTTTGAGTCATAGATCTTATTAGGGTTTAGACAAATTCAATAGTCCAAATAAAAATTTGGGTTATGTAAATATTTTATAAGAAATTTTCCCATATATATGTATATATCACTCTACGTGTGTGTGAGCCTACACTCCGTCTGGTCAAAAAAAAAACAAAAAAGAAGCCTACATTCTGCATTTTCCATTGCGAGGAAAAGGCCTTGAGGACATTTGTACGAAAAGAGAGAATAAATGCATAAAGCCTTGAGGGGGTAGTTATGGGAGTTCTCTTTTATTAAAATAAAAAAAAGACAATGACAAATAAAAAAAACCCTGAATTATCAAAATTACAGAGGTTATCTAAATAAGTAAAATTACCATGAAAGATCCAATTTTATATTGCAAATATAAAATCTTGATGAAATATCTGAAATGTCCCTCAGCTAAGTTGTGATTTGGTCTACTGAAATTGTCATTCACTAAAGTAAACTTGTTATTTGCTATAGTCAACTTGTCATTTGGCATACCTTCAACCAAGTTGTGATTTAATCTACTGAAGTTGTCATTAGCTAAAGTGAATTTGTCATTTCCTATAGTCAACTTCTCATTTGGCTGAGGGACATTTTAGATATTTCACCAAGAGTTTATATTTACAATATGAGACGGGTCTCTAATGGTAATTTTACTTAGTCAGGTGACCTCTGTGTAATTTTGATAATTTGAAGGTCTTTATTTATGATTTTTCCAAAAAAAACAGAGAATAAATGCACAAGAGGATAAAAAGTTAGAGTAGTTCTTAATTTTAACCACACAAAAAAAAAAACAGCACCCAAAATATTTTTTAGATACATCTAAAATTTTAAACTATTTTATGATATATTTAGCATTTTAAAATATTTTTCAGGTATATTTAGTATTCTAAAGTATTTTTTTTTCTCTTTAATGCCAGATGCATGAAAAAATATTTTAGAATGTTGAATATACTTAAAAATACTTTAAAATACTGGATGTACTAAAATATACTTAACAGTAGTATTAGATACACTTAAAAAAAAACTTCACAGTATTGCATACACTACAAAATACTGTAGTCTATTTTTTTTTGGCCGAACAATACTGTAGTCTATTGGATATGCCGAAAAACAATGATACTTTGAGACGTTGGATATATTTTAATCCTAACAAAAATATCTAACACGGAAAGCAAAACAAGAAAACAAAAAATCTCACACATATATTATATTATAAACTGATGAATCCAGAAATTATTGCTGCGGAAAAAAATGAAAAGACAAAATTCCCGACACTATTATAGCCTTTAAACTTGATTATAAACAGATGATCATACAAAATATCCTTCACCCCGGTCTTTCTCTTCGGTCCCTTGGGCCTTCGCCTGCTAGTACTCTTGATGTATTAGGTCCAAACCTTATATAGATTTGAGATCTAAAACATAATAAATTAAAAATTAACGGTTGCTGCCGTCAAAAAACTCTTTGGGATTGTTTAACAGCCTCTATATCATAGTTTTACAAACATCTTTTTTTACAAAACGAAATAATTTTTTTATATATTTATTTCGTAAACTGTAAAAATATTTCTGAAACAATGATTTGGTTTATATTCAAACACTCTTTTTTATCTTTTCAGTTTTCAAAAGAAAACGTGAACAGAGCAAGAGATATAGGGATTCTCTCCACTTCCTTCCCATCCTCTTCCCCTCCACTACTCTGCTTTTCTCTTCACAACCATTAGATTAAAATTCCAATGGTCCAGATTTAACATCTTATAAAAATAATATTATTAAAAAAATAAATAAATAAATTTAAACTGTTAAAATCTAGTCTGAACAGTTTACAATTGTAATAAAAAAATTTTAAAAAAATTTTGCTCTATAATAACAGTTAATAACAGTCTGTAGTTATGAACTGTTCAGATTAGATTTTAACAGTTTAAATTTATTTATCTATTTTTTATTATAATATTTATTTTTATAAAATATTATAAAATATTAAATTTGGACCATTGGAGTTTTGATCTAATGGTTGTGAAGAAAATAAGATAGTAGTGGAGGGGAAGAGGATGGGAAGGGTAGTGGAGAGAATCTGATTCCGAGATATAGTGGGGAGAAAAAGTGTCTCTTACCTGTAGAACTCTGCAACTCTCGTCTCTCCCTGTCCTAGAAAAAGTGTCTCTTACCTGTAGAACTCTGCAACTCTCGTCTCTCCCTGTCCTAGAAAAAGTGTCTCTTTACTGTAGAACTCTCCAACTCTCCTCTCTCCCTATCCTCGTTCTCTCTCCAAAGGCGTAACAAAATCTGACTCCGTCTATGTGATCCCATTCCGTGTGAACATCGGAAATACAGAGCTACATTCCATTCCAGGTACGCCAGAATCTCACAAGCTGCCAGCATAACAAAGTTCCTCTAAAGTTTAACTTCGACGCAGAGGCAAAAGGCAGACTTGAGCCTTCATCACTTGTTCGGCAAATGGAATCGCAGAGATCAAATAACAGTGAGTGTTCTGTCAGATTCTATTCTTGAACATTTTTGCTTCAATTGAGAATGTTTTGTTTGTTTCATTTGACCTGGTTTTCTTAGGGTTTCGCTTACTCAAGTAGCAGGTGAGAGATTGATGCCCAACTTGGGAATGTCATTCTAGCATTATGATATCTGAAATCCAACTGAAATTTCAATTTCAAAACCCCCATTTTTATTTTGTTCCTTCTGTATTTAGAGACTTTTTGGCCATTAGAAGACTCTAAAGAATCCAAATCTCTTTCCATTATCCTTCACTAATTGCTCAAGAAAAAACACTCAATCACTCAAGTCCCCCTGTATTATTTATGATGCTTCCTAAACCATCACTTTGGATTAGAAGGTAAATAATTCTATGACGTTCATGATTTAATCCTTTCTTCGGTTTAAGGAGAAGATGGACTAATTTGGCTTCTACCCGAACTGGAAGAGGATAGATCAGAGCCCGTGCTCGAAATGAGACGTTATATAAAAATCAACGGAAAAGAAAGTGGTCCAGGTAACACATTTCCTTGGTATACCAGAATTAAAAACGCAGCTAGCTTACTATAACAAGTCATTAATGTTTTCCATTTCTTAAACATTGAAATTCAAGCAAACATGGGAGATTTTATTGGATGGTGTGTCTACTTCTCACCCCCAAGCGGATCATTTGAATTTATCCCAGGTATGCCAGATTTCTTCATTACTGTGCTCTGACATGAGTATCCTATTATTGTGCTTTGCCATTTTCTATAACAAAAAGAATCTAAACTTTTGCCCCCCTTATGGTGGGCATTTAAACGGCACTGTTTCCAACAGACATGGGATTGAAGAATGTCTTCTCACTGCCGAGTGACCCATCTACAGTAAATGTATTCCATCAGTGCCCTGAAGACGAAGAGGAGGAGAGCGAATCCGAACCATCTACATTCGAGAGCAAATCCGAGTCATCTACAGTAAATGTATTCCATGAGTGCCCTGAAGACGAAGAGGATGAGAGCGAATTCAAACTATCTCTACTAAATCTATTCCATGAGTGCCCTGAAGACGAAGAGGATGAGAGCGAATTCAAACTATCTCTACTAAATCTATTCCATGAGTGCCCTGAAGACGAAGAGGATGAGAGCGAATTCAAACTATCTCTACTAAATCTATTCCATGAGTGCCCTGAAGACGAAGAGGAGGAGAGCGAATCCGAATCATCTACAGTAAGTCTATTCCATCAGTGCCCTGAAGACGAAGAGGAGGAGCGCAAATTCAAAAAAGTATCTTCACTATTCGATCAGTCCCCTGAAGACGAAGAGGAGGAGAGCGAATTCCCCAAAAAGCCAAGGGAACCGGAAAAGCCAAAGCCGCCGCCGCCAAAGCCAATGGAACCGGAAAAGCCAAAGCCGCCGCCATCTTTTGCCTTTGCTGACATGAGAATGCGGCAACATGGATCAGGATTTGATCATGTATCCCGTTTGAAACATAAGTTAATGAAGCAAGAACATGGACCCAACAAGGATTTCAAGTTGCTAGAGAATGCGTACAATTCAATGAATGCCAATGTCGTCTCTGATCCAAACAGATCTTTCAGTACTGTATCTGATAATGCCATTTTTAAGCAACGTACCCCACGTGGCAATACAGTCTTACACTTGGCAGCTAGTCATGGAAATGATGCAATGGTAGAAAAGGTAGCTCAACATGCTCCCCAACTTTTCACTGCAATTAACAACAACTATGATACTGCGCTTCATGTTGCTGCAAGAATGGGACACGGCTCTACCATTAAGTTAATCTTGAACGAGTTTTTGCTTTTTGCCAGACGTGAAACAAATGGTCATGATGATCATTCCATTTTGGAAATGATGCTTCTGGTATCACTAACTTTGTTTCGAAATAAACAAGGGAACACCTTCCTCCATGAGGCCTTTGTGACCAATAGCCGTAATGGCGCAGTGATTTTCAAAGCTTTTGAGGCTTCTTTCAGTGCAGATGGCGGTTCAGACTTTGAGGCCGAGTTTAAGAGAATTACTCATCATTTAGCACCATTTGCAGTCAACGTGGAAGGGAAATCATTATTGTACTTGACCATTGAGGTTAACTGTGACCGAGATCTTGTTGAGCAATTGATGGAGTTCTGCATTGAAGATGGGCCGGAGCTGCAAGGAAGATCACCCCTTCTTCCCACACTCATCAAGAAGAATTTTGGTAGCTCTTACATTGACTCATTGCTTAAATTTCTGAGTATACTATTTATTTACTAGTCAACTCTCATTCTCCTTGTGAGATCAATGATACTATGAGAGAAAAGCACTAGAGTAAAGATAACAAGAGGCAAAATTAAGAGGAAATTGTGCTATATCTATTCAATCAGCATATGAATGCTTCTAAATAATAGGATAAAAATATACATTTGGTCTTTTAATTTTATACAAGGTTTCAGTTTAGTCCATTAACTTTAAAAAGCCTATTTTTAATCTTTTAATCCTAAGCTTGTGAATCTTAAATGATGAGTTTTATAATAACCATGGTTGCTTTGAAAATTAAACTTAATATGTTAAACATTTGAAAATATTTTATCAACATGTAATATCTCAATGTCATCATTTTTGTTAATAGTTTTAGTGGTAAAAGACTAAAAATATACTTTTTTTTAAAATTAAGAAATCAAACTGAAATGTTGTATAAAGTTAAAGAGTTAAAAGTATACTTTTACCTAAAAAAATAGTAATGAGCCATCCTAATAAATACTAAATTAATCTATAATAATTATAATATATGTGATAGGTCAACCTAAACAAAATATAGGAGATTACAATTAATTGAAAATCATAAATCAATCATAATAAGATGACACTTAGTCATATTAACACTCTTAAAACATTGATAATTATCAAGACACAAGGAGACATTCCTACTTAATCAAGGAAAGGAGAGGAGACTTGTATATAAACACAATATTCTGTCTCTGTCTTTCTCTCACACATTCATTTACACAGTGAATTTTCTTAATTTGAGCATATACAAAATTATGATTAATATACTTGTTTATAATAGATATGCTAGGAGCCATATTGAGCAAGAAACCAGATTGGATACACTTGAGAGATGAAGAAGGATGGTTTCCACTTCATTCTGCAGCGCGTTTGGGTTACCTTCAAGGTGTTTCCTCCTTAGTGGAGAAATGTCCTTCTTGCACCATGGAAAGGGACAACAATGGCTACTTACCGATTCATCTAGCATGTGTTCATGGTCACGTCGAAATAGTTCAACAGTTACTAAATCGGTGCCTAGATCCCACAGAGATGGTAACTGAACGTGGCCAAAATTTGCTCCATGTTGCATGCAAATATGGAAATTATGAAGTAGTCAGGTACTTACTCAAACAACCCAAGCTTGAGGTAATGATAAATCAAAAAGACATGGACGGGAATACTCCCTTGCATTTAGCTACCGAGTCCCGGCATCCCAAAATTGTGTATGCCCTGACATGGGACAACAGAGTGGATCTTTCTTTACTTAACCGTGACAACCTAACGGCTCTAGACATCGTAGAAGTATATCAAGGCATAAGTGTTTCCCTTTCAGAGGCAAGTATGCATGCATAATTTTGCTGATTAGACTTCAATATGTTTTCTTTGTCAAAATTATGTTATTTCTTGAAGTCTCAATCATTTCCCCCCTTTGTTAACCCCAATCAAATTATTTTGTTTGCAGCGACTTACATGGAATGCATTGATATCTGCTGGAGCACCTCAAAGTTCTGTGAGATTTCATCCAGACCTCAAGTCCTGTACTCCAACCACTGAACAATATAAAGATAGAATTGACACTTTGATAGTGGTTTCAACCCTTATAATAATAACATCATTTGCTGCTGGGTTTACCATCCCAGGTGATGTAGATCAAGGCATTCCCTTCTTGCTAAAACACCGTGTGTTCCATTTATTCGTTCTCTGCCTCACAATTTCTGTGTTTGGTGCTATAAGTTCCACCATCATTCTCATGTGGGCTCGACTAGGGGATCTCCATCTAGCAGTTTTTGCTCTTACTTGTGCAGTGCCTCTTCTAGGTCTATCCCTGACAGCACTATCTCTAGCATTTTTTGCTGGCATGTACCTTGTAGTTAGCAAACTTAGCTGGCTTGCCACTATGTTTTTGCTGATTGGTGTGGTTTTGATCCTCGTGGTTGTATTCTTGTACTTGCTGCTTCTGTTGCCTTCCTCTTCAACCTTGCCGTTCTTTCGATATATTTCCTATTATCCCTTCCTTTTCTTTGCAAACATAGCTCAAGGGAAAATGGATGCCAACAAGATGAGATCTAAAGCTATCGTTCGAGTGGTTTAACTTAATTATATATGTATGTTGTCATGAGTGCGATGAAGAATCATATCACAAGTTTCTATCTTTTTTCCTTTTCATCTGTCCGTTGACGAACTCTGGAATGTATTATTCTTAGCTACGCATGTATCGTTTATGCTACTTTTGGATATTCTCAAATTTGTATAATATTTTTCTTTAAGAAAAAATGTTATTATGCTTAAATTTATCCATTGCATTCCAAGAATTTTAATTTGAGATATTTGAGAAAAATGAGCAGTTAATATATAGTATTTCTAGTATTTCTGAAAAATGACTTATATTTAGAATAAATGATAATATTAATCGATAACAACATTTTTGTAGACATTTGATCAATGAGCTTAATTTGTCAATCTATCAGAGACATGGGAAAAATCCTAGATTGACCTTAAAAAATATATAAATATTAAGTATATTTTCCATATTTTGTTTCCACGTTAATCTGTAGGGGGCTTTGGGCTTTCGATGTATATTAACCTGTTTCCTTGGCAATTTCTCTTAATGCCTTGAATTTTAAAAATATATTTATTGCGATCAATATCAAAATGGTTATTAAAACTTGAGAATTTTTCAAGATGGATACAAATTTTTTAAATTCATCCTTGTCCTAAATTTTAAATCTTGGGTATATAAATCCAAATAAAAGAATAAAAAATACTTGGGTGTGTGGAATATACAAATGGAGTGTAAATAAAAAAAATTCATATATTACAAGAAAATTATGTCTAGAATTTTAAAGTTGATACTATTTGGAAAAATATTGCTGTTAAACTCGACAATACTCAAATTTGACTTAATTAGATTATTATATTGTAAAAAAAATCCCTTCAGAAGAGGATCATCAAGCCATTCATGTTCAGATTCACATGCCGCTATCATTTAAAAACAAAATCAGCATGTTGAAAAATTCATCTTAGTTGATTTGGGCTTAGAATAAGATTCAACAACAATATTGTGCTCATGTCTGTTCACATATTTGAAAAAATGTTTTCAAAGAAACTCAGGAATTCGAATGGGCCTGTTAATTATATCTATTCCCAGCTGCTGAGACTTTTAATAGTTTGACTGATCCATGCGCTCGTGCAAGTTGCTCCATCAATCGGAGTTTATTCCAAATCAGGCTTCATTTATAAATTATTATGATCGTTTCATTGTTTTTCCTTTTTCAAAATAAAATGTAACGTCTACTCATTTTTCCTAGATAATAATGCTAGGTCTAATTATTTCATCCCATCAATAATAAAATGGATTAAACTCCTTTCTATGTAACTTATTTAACTTTATACAAGATTTTAATTTGGTTGTTTAACTTTAAAAAAAAAATATTTTTATTTATATAACCTTGAAATGATCATTAGTATTAAATAATTCATATTTGTAACAATCATAAGTATTTTAAAAATTAAACTTAATGTATTAGCATTTAAGAATATTTTATCAATATTCAAAATTTCATTATTATCATTGTTTTGTTAACAACTTTGGGATTTAAGACTCAAAATACACTTTTCAAAGTTTAGAGATAAAATTAAAACTTTACATAAAATTAAAAGACTAAAAATATACTTTAGCATTTCTTTCATTTTGAAAACAGACATGGAAGTCCCTTGATTAATTTTGATAATATTATGAAGTTAACTGATTATATATTCTAGATTTTTATTATTTTCATAATTTTGAATTTTTAATCTCATTTATTTAACATTATTTATTAATATTTTAAAAACCTCAGTTGGCTAAAAATATCATTTAAGCATATCTATATATCTTAAATTATTTTACATATATATCTTAAATTATTTTACATGATTATGAAATGGAACAACTTTGATCTTCTTCTGCAACATCTATTTGGTATAAATTTTTCACAAACCATCAAGTGATAAATTAGAAATTTTGTATGCTGAGGAGTGAATCAGTGAATAAAATTTATTTTAATAGAAAACTGAAAAACTCAACAGTTTGGAGTGAGATATAAATCTTCGTTTGGATAGAAGGATAAAAAATCAAAGAGAAAATGTTGTCACTCATGCTGTTAGATGAACGAGAAGAAATAGGAAGAAAAGAAAGTAAGTATCTTTCTATTTAAAAATATATCATGTTTAAAATCAAATTAAATACCACAATAAAAGTATCATATTAACATTTGTGTTGTCAAATAATTTAAAATCAAATTATTTAGTAAGGATATATTTTCATATTATTACATTTTAAAGCCAAATAATTTTTAAAAAAATGTTATTTTGCAAGAAAAAATAAGAATTAAATAATTTTTTTGAAATTAGATATAATAAGAGAAAATAAATAAATTATATATAATCCAAAATTATTAATAGATGCTAAAAATATATTATAAAAGACGGAGGTCTAAGAATGAAAAAAATTAATCTTCTCATTTTCTCTCCCCATGCTGGGAATAAAATGAGATTTATCCACATCCCATTTTTTTCCCAACTTTTCTTTCCTTTCATTTTTCCTTACCCATCCAAGTAACGAAAAATTCACCTCTCCTTATTTTACTTCTTAATTTTCTTTTCTCGGTCATTTGTTTTTTTCCCCATCCAAACATGGTGTCATACCATCAAAGTCATGAGAAATGTATAATCTCCCGTATTTTAGCAAAATTTTCTTTGACAATTGACATATTCCGGATACCAAGAAATATTCATCCAGTTTTTATAAATAAACAATCTTGCAATAAATGCAATATCAGTTAATTAAACACTAGCTTAATTTATATTTTTAATTAAGAAATTCTAATTTTTTTATACCGGAATTTGTCCAATTAATAAGGAGTCAACTTATAATCCACTGCCAATGTAAGGACCTTGGTGAACAATCTATAAGTACATATATAATGACCGTAAGCGCTTTTTAAGCCTGAAGGCATGTTCTGATATGACCCTACTCGTCTAAACTTTTCCTTGCATCAAAAAAAAAATCTAATTAAAATAACTTGGTTCATCAAAAGCGGACCTTCTGGTCAAAAAAAAAAAATCAAAAGCGCACCCAAGGTCGCACAGTTGGGATAGAAAAAACAAATGAAAGGAAGGCATTCCCTCTTGTTATTAATTGGTTAAAACAAAATAAAGGGGAGGGGAGGAAGCCCCACCCTCCAAAGTCTTGGGATTTGGAAGTTATTAAAAAAATATTCCCTCTGTAAAATAGTAAAATCTCCTCCTCTTGGCTCTTACCCCCACCCACCCCCCGCAAAAAATAAAATAAAACCTAAGCCTTCTTCCTCTATTATCCCTCCATTTAACCACATATACATAAAACATTCTTATAAAATTTACTCTACTTGCAATATACAAGACATCAATATAATATCTATTTATAAAAGAGGATGTGCCCAGCCATGCAGCTATAATGCTAGATTCAGGCTTAATTTCCTATGGCAATAAATAGTAAGAGCTCAATGGGCTCAAATATGACTTCTCTGTCGTGTCAACTTTCTATTTTGAACTTGGTTTATTCAATTTTCAAATATACAAGAAAATTTACAAAATTTTAGGTGTAGTTAATATCTGTTTTTCCTAAAATACTCCTAATATTTGAGACATGAAAGGCAAAGATATAATCAGCCATCTGCATTACTCAATTGCTCACAAAATTCATAAACTTTTTGTTTTTGGACTGTAAAATTCAGGAACTTGAACCAGCTACAAGTATGCGTGTGTAAAGCCGTCCATAATTAATTGAATTAATCAATTAATTAATTACGAAACTCTCCTTTCTAATTCAGTTAATATAAGCAGTAATAAAAAACACACTTCGGCTAAGAAGATTGCATGTTTTCTATCTGATAAGCTCGTGTACAATCCAGACCTGATAACATTATACGAATTCGAATTGCTTTTAAAACAATTCAATAATATATATGTCTATATATTAACTGATTTAATATTTAAATTGGAAACAAACCTCATTTATAAAATTCTCATATACAACTAAACATCGTTTTATTGACTTCATGCATGAGAGTGAAAAACAAAACCACTATAAGGTCCCTTTCCTGCTTGAGGGACATTTCAAATTACCAAAAAAGAAAAGAAACACATTTGATTACAACTATGACATACCTTATTCAGAAGAGAATTATAAATTACAGCCACCTTAACTAAGTGTCCACTCTTGTCGGATTACAAAGCTGATCTTTCCCTTTCAATCCCCTTCCATGCATAGAAAGAATTATGAATCTCTTCAAAACAAATCCCTTTGGTTATTATCTACACCAACCCACCGTAAACTTTCCTCTGTTTTCTGCAGAACCTTCAACCAGGTATGTCTTCAAACCAAAAAAAAAAAAAATCACGCATTTACTCTTCTGACTACCTTTTTGTTTTCTGTATATAACATATGTTTCAGTTGTCGCAGTTCAACCCACAAATTTCCAGCACGATGTCGTCTTTTGCTAAAAACGGGTTGATTCGGACCCAGAGAAGGGAGAAGATTGAAGCCAGGAGAATCGCCCAGACTATGATGATGGTAGGAACACCTTCTTGCTTTCCCATGACTCCCTTGAGGAATGGGTAGAGATGGAGGATGACCCAGAGGGCAAAGAAGAGCTTGCCAAAGAGAGGTCCCCAGGAATCATAGCCGTTGTTGATCGCATCTGAGACACCGACAATGACACCGATTATGTTTATGATGAGCAAGGTTAGAGGAGGAACCAACAAGGATGTCCACTTAAAGATGTAGAGTTCGGCAAATTCTCCATCGTCTGCAGCTTTAGATGTGACAGTGAAGTTTGTGTTCACTCCGGCCAGAACCTTCAGCAGACCTTGAAAGAGGGCAAACAGGTGCGAGGAGACACCACCGATGACCCAGAACTGCTCGTTCCTCCACCAGTCATGTATGCCGACGCCTCCCCACTGCATTTCCAAGATGCTCGTTGCAGCAATGGAAATGAAGAGCGCCATGAAAATCAGACTCGCATAGTTGCTAATCTGGATACCAAAAAAAGAAGCATGAAGCATTAGCAATGCATCGAAATTAGAACGAGTTGTGGATGGATTTGCATTCTCCCCACTTTCTTTGTTATTTGAGAATAACAAGAAAGAAATGGAGAGAATTGAAATGTGTTGTGGTTTTTACAAGTCCAGCCCTACATATTGAATAGGATTGAACATGCTGACTCGTAATTTTAACAATTCTAATCACAGCATACTACATTTTGAAGTGGAAATTAAGATTGAATTTCTTCCATCAAACCAAGAAAGAAACAAGCGATCCTACCTCGGGGACTATGAATTTTCCGGTGAGGAGACAGACAGCCGGCAAAGTGCAGTAGGCGAGCAAGGGAATGGAAGTCAAAGGATAAACGACGGAGTTAATGTAAGAGAATCGTTCCAACGATTTCAAACCACAACCATATCCATACCACAATGGACAATGCCTACTAAGAAATATCTCAACAGATCCAAGTGCCCACCGGAGAACCTGATGCAGACGGTCGGAGAGATTGATGGGAGCTGAACCTTTAAAAGCCGGCCTTTTTGGCATGCAGTACACGGATCTCCAACCATGGCAGTGCATCTTGAAACCTGTTAGAATATCCTCTGTGACTGAGCCGTATATCCATCCAACCTGAGAAAAGACAATTGAAACTTGGTAAATGTAGCAACACATCTAGGCAGTGGTTTATTAAGTTTGAAACCAATTTAATATTTACCTCTTTCCCCCACTCCGTTTTATCCTCATAACCACAGCTAATGACATGGATTGCTTCTTTCAAAAGTGATGCAGAACTTGCAGATTTTGGCATGCCGCCATCTTCCATAAGTGTCGAAGCTATGAAGAAAGAAGATTGACCGAATTTTTTCTCGAATTTTACTAGAGGCATTAGTAATGACTTTTCATTGTCAATTCCTGTAATTGAAAATAAGGAAGATTATATTCTAACCTTGGTACAAAGATTACAATCTACTACGCTCCAAGGAAATATTTGGTGTTTTACCTTCGATTCCCTCTTGAATATTTTCTAGAGAAGTCAATTGCTTTGTAGCCTCCTTGTTCTTTATTTTACTTTTCCCACTTGACTTGACTTTCTTGTTCTTCTTCCTAGATCCACAGCAGCAGCAGCACCACCATTTAGGCCAACAGTTACAAGTCTTCCTCGGTGGCTTCTTCTTAGCAGGGGCATCATATCCATAGAGTGCTTGCCTCCGGAAAACACAACCGGTACCGACATAAATTGGACCTTGGATGCCGTCTAGGCCTTTCATGTTAATCTGTTATATAATTAAAAATAGAGATTAACTTTTCCTCAAAGCATAATACCAAAAATGCCAACAAGTGCAGATTCTTTACTCACATCAAAGAACACAACATTACGATTTGAGTATCGATCGTGACGATCAATCCCATCAAATCTTTGAGGAAATTGTACATAGCAAATTTTCTTTCCCGATGTAGGATCCATCAAGAAGCACATGGCTTCACGAAGTGCTTTGCTGTTGTTAATGTAGTGATCACAATCAACATTCAGCAGATAAGGAGCATTCGAAATGATCGCTGAGACTCGAATCTAACCAAAACATGTTAAAGATAGATCAGGATAATGAAAGTTGCAAGAAAAGTAAGTATATGTGAGAAAGGGGACCAACCCTACCAAGGCATTCATAGCTCCGGCTTTCTTGTGGTGATCGAATCCAGGTCTCTTCTCACGAGACACATAGACAAGACGGGGTAATTCATTCCCATCAACATCTCGTACACCATTTTGACCGAGGAAAACCTATAAAGAAGATCATCAAAGATGAAATTAACCGAAAGAGCCATACCACTACCACATTTTTACAGACAGAAAATACTACTCACTTGTATCATTCCTGGATGGTCTCTGACATTGTTCCCAGGCCATGGAGTCCCATCCTGCATAGTCCAACCGTCCTCAGGAACCTTCTGTGCCATCGCAACCAATGCATTAATACGCACTTTGAACTCCTCGTAATCCCGCTGCACAATAGACAGTTCAGAACACCAAATTTACATCATCAATAATTGAAGCTCAGCATAAGAGTTGAAATCACTAAACGCATAACAAATGCATAATTGAATAGGATGATCTAGTCCATTAAATCATGCCCCATGTCTGTGGACATTTACCTTAATAGCGCGACGCTCCTTGATAAATGTTGGGTCAACTTTGTCTCTCAGATAGTCAACCTTTTGAGCAAAATACCATTCAGGAGCACGTGGTTCAATACTGAACTTCTTGCAGAATGGAACCCACTTCCTCGCAAACTCAGATGTTTCCGAAAGGGCTTCAAATGTAAGCATCGCTGCACCATCATCAGAGACATAGCATGCAACTTTGTCCACCGGATAATCTACCGCAAGTATCGATAGAACCGTATTTGCGGTGATAAGTGGAGGTTCTTTCATAGGATCCACAGTACTAACAAATATGTCTACATTGGCCAGTTCAGATGGCTTTCCTTCTTTCTCATACCTGCAAAGCCATATAGCATTAGCCATAGAATAACTAGATGAACAGTCCCATCAAGACAGAAAATAAATAAATGAATGAATACCTCAGTGATAAACGATCGAGGTATGTTTCTCGTTCAATTGGGCACCATTTCGGAAATTGATCGAGAATCCATGACACAGCAAACCAGATTTCACATATTACTGATGTTAGCCACAGACCAAATGCATCATGGACAGGATGGAGAATTCTGTAATGAAAAAAGAGGCCGAGAATGGCAATCCGGAGTACTATTATGATCCTGTATGGACTTATCTTGCTTGAAGGAATTGGTACCTTCCTCCAAAGTGGCTGCCTGCCTTCATCCATTCTGTTGAAAAGCATGAAATTTAAATTAAATTAAATATTATCAACCTCGGCCAGCTTAATATGGCAATTAAGCATCTTATTTGGTGAAAATCAAAAGTTCCTTTCTAACTAGTATTCTGCATCGTCTTTGACCAACCAAACAACAGTTTGTGACAAAAATATGATAACATCAGCATTTTCCATACAAATTTAAGCTTCATAAAGTGACAGAAAAGAATTTCAACGCTGATGAAGCCGCCAATGCTAACACAAACAAGCAGAAATGAGTTAAAATTAATTTAAAAAGAATACCATTTACGTATCAAACAATTTAAGAATTGTTGGTAGTGAGTGATACAGATATGAAAAAAGATACGATCATCACATATGCGACAGCACAATAAAATCTTAAGTGCTTGTGTGCTAATTAAAGCATTTCTCAACGCCAATAAGAGAATCCAACGTGTCGGAAGCTCATAGATTCTCTAACAGATAGAATCTAACTACTGTTCTAATTCAAAATTCAGTTACAATATAACAGCACTTACGTTGGCAGTTCTGGATCATCCAATTCATCAGCATTTTTCCACCATCTTCATGTTTGACCACCTGCAGTTTTTCATTCTGCTTCTTTTTCCAGTCCTCCATCCGTTCCTTCCATGTAACACTACCATAACCGTAAACTGCTAAATCCTTTTTAGGATCCATAGCTCTGGGTTGAACTGCTAAATCAAGTGCCATGTAAAATATAAATTAGAAAAACCAGGTTTGACTTAAACAGCATAATAAAGAGGGGTCATATAGTTTCAAGCTACAATGCAGAATAAAACCAGAACATATAATAGCTTACTAGGTACAGATGAATCGGGAAAAGGCATAGGATGAACACGCTTCCCACGAGCCATGAACGGAGGAACAATAAGTGCATGTTTATCAGCAGAAATCCCAAGATCCTTAAGAGACCAAACAAAAAAAATCATCATTTATCAGTGACTTGAACCCAAAATGGCATCATCATCAAGATGATAAAAACGAAATCACAAGTCGCAAATTCAATTAACCTCTTGGCCGTATGTAAGGAGAGGGATTTCACCGGCAGCCACAGAAGCCGCATCTACCTCTGATGGAGTGTTGTCATCGCGGCCAACATTAAGGCGAGCAGAAAGCATGGCCTCAGCAATGTGATGAGGGTCTCCATGAACACTTCCAATATCAAACTCATTCTCCAAATCATCAATATCATCCTCTTCATCATCACCGTCAACCCTAGCACTGCCTGATATTTGATTAAATACATTATTATTAGCCCAGTATACAACCAGATTACAGAGCAAGGAAAAGCAAACCCAAGTAAAGATTAAAAAAAATATTCAAGACATGAAACCAACATGTCAAAACAAAACAAAATATACATAAATATATTAACACTTGTTATACTCAAACATCAATTAAATAAATCACCCTATGAAGCTAGTTCGTTTGGACTATAAAGTTCAGCATTCTAGAATTAGAAACCTTAATACGCCAGTGAATCTGGAGAGTGCGCCAAGGAGAAAATTTAATCCGATGAAATCGTAAGACACTCCAAGAAAAAAACAAAAAAGTTATAAAAAAAAAAAAAGTTACCAAACATGACTAGAGAGATGAAATTGAAGTTTTTACCTCTGTGACGCTTGTATCTGGTTTTGCACTGAGGACAAATTTGGTTGCCCTCTCTTCTTTCATATTCATAACAGGGTCTGCAAACTGGAAATGCACATTCGTTGCAAGCAACAAATGGTTCCCCATCCACTGTTACCTCAACCTCGTCCCCACAGATCTGGCAAATCTGACCGCTCAATTCTGTCACAGATGTCACCTGAAATTCTCATCATAATTAGACTTGAATTTCACTACACAACAGTATGAAGCATCAAACTCCAAGGATTTCATATAATGGATCGATGAAGAAACGAGAAGATGGGAAAAAAATTAACGGACTGGTCTTCCCCAGATTCTCAATTGGACGAACGGAAGGTATAAGATTTAAAAAAAAAAAAAATCTTCTTTTCTTGTCGTAGAAGCTGAAGAGGTACCGACAAGAAAATGGATAAGTTTAAACGGGAAAATTTCCAGAACTTCACCGACAAGTACATTTATCGGGAACTCTTTCTGTGAAAAGGAAACAAACAATTACAATGAAG